CTGCACATCCAGAAAGGGCTCCTGTTTCATTACCCTGATGACTTAAGTCATTACCTCATGACTTAAGCAGACACTAAAATTTGACCCGTGGCTCAGAAACTTGAGAAGTAAGTGAGCCTCAGTGTACGTGTTTGACTTTTTCTGCCTTCATCAGGATTAAAAGATGAACATTCCCTGCGTGGAAGTGGAAATTTTGGTGATTGTTTGAGTCACAAGTGAAGAAAAACCCCTCTCCCTTCCCTTCATCCTTCCTGATCCACCAGTGACAGATTGTGATTGTAACAACGTGAACACTGGCATCTACTACTGCATTGCCTGCACACTTTCTCCAATATTTAGTTTTTGTCAGGCTGAGATGAGAAAGGGTTTGCTGTGCTCACAGGAGGGGCTGGGCTATGTGTAGGGTGTCTCTACCTTCAGCAAGAGGGGCTGACCTTGTTTCAATATGGATTGTGGCTTTGGATATGCTGTGGGAGCAATGTGTTTGGAAAACTGCCACTTACCACCTCAGTGAGAGTCAGTGGCAGGTGGCACCAAGCATCAGTTGCTGGTCTCCAACTGCACGATAACACGTTCTCTTATTTCCAGTCTTTTCACACCCAATGTGTGCAGCAGAGGATGGTCTTGGCTCTGAGCAGTATAGCCCTCAGAAGCTTCCTGCAGTGGTTACTATTTCTTAAAGTCTTCGTAGCATTAATAGTCATTTCAGTAGTGGTATGACTTGGACTTTTAGGGGTGGGTGATAGAGGCTACTGTAAATGGTGTGACTTGAATAAACAGCTGGGACAGAGATAGGCTCAATGCAAAAATAGTGCCAGAGCTATCAAGGTTGTCTGTCTTTAGCAACCTTCAGGATTTTTCTGCCCTGAGAGAAATGTTTATCTTGTAGAATGAATCAGTTTTGTCCTTGTAAAAGCAAGCAGACCCACAACATGGGAGTCATTGCTGTTTGCCTTCAGCCATATGCTGGTAACCCCAACAGAAGTGGCTGTCAAATGGAGCAAAACATTACTTGAAGCTACTAGTCCCTCTATACAATTCAATTATGTTGGGAAGTAGGGGAAAGTACCCCTAGCCAGGGTTTCCTATTCTGTAGGAGCCTGTAAAGTGCTGAGATCATATGGCGAGTGACCATGCATACATAAGCTTCTGGCACTGTTTAATTAACCTGATTTCCAGAAGTGTTTTTACCACCCAGTTGTATACCAGCTAAAATTTAACTCTGCAAAACCAAGCTTGGTTCCCTTATATAAACCAAGAAGTGCTGCGACTTTTGAATGCAAACAGTAATGCTGTTGTGGCAATAGAGATGCTGACTCCCAGGGACAAAGCCAGCACCACCCTTTGCTGACATTCCTGGCTCATGTCTGACTGTACTACCCATCATTACTCTGATCTGGAAATGGTGTGGAAGAGTGACTGTCAAATACCCTGTTACACTTCCAGTCCCAATTGCACTTCAGCTTTCTGAAAGCAAAGCACTTTGTGTCACATGTAAACCCTATTTTGGATTATGTGTCTGCTGATTTTCCAGGAAGTCACAGAAAAGTGGGAATAAAAAAGCTACCTTTAGGTTTTTACACTTCAAACTGAAGTGGGATTTCAAAACGCAGGGTCAGATTTGCTGCCTGTCGCTTTTCAGCCAAGGTGATAAAATGCACTTGGACAGGGATTTCAAAAGCTTTCTTTGGAGCAGTAATTGTGGGAAGTTGGATTCTGCAGGATCCAAGGCTGAGCAGCCTGCCAGGAGTCTTGAAATCACCTTTGATATGCTGGGGTTCCTTCTGTATGGAAGGTTGTAAAAGCTGCCCGAGACATCAGTTTTCCCAAGAGGAACTTGGCAAACAGGCAGGAGGGTGTATGCTCTTGTTACCTCATGTAGGCTGGAATAAATGCCAGTGGGAGTTGCATGCTTGAGGTACATGGTCAAGTACTTCTGAAGAGCATGAAACAAAGTCAGCTTATGGTCCAGAATGCTTCTTTCCTGACTAGGAAAAGCACTTGCTGGGTACAAACCTCTGGACTCCATTCCTAACTCCAGTCTCCCACGGTTTTCAGCTGGATCTTTGGACATCCTTGTTCTTTCCTTCATTTTATTCAATACTGAGACCTCTGCCACCTACAGTCATGTTCTAGTGTGGTATCTTGCAAATGGTGGGAAGATGTTTTGTGTGTCCTGTGGGTGTTTTGTCAGACAGGAATCAGGGGTTTGGTACAGTTTGCAGCAGGTTTCTGAGAGACATCCCTGAGACTCTTCATGTCCCTTCAAATCAATTTAGCACCAAACTCATATTGTCTCCTGAGCACTTAGGGGGATGAGACTAACCTGGCTACCTACCTGTGTACCTGGAGAGTGAGCCCTCTGTAATGCGCATAGCTAGAGATGCTTTTCCATTTGCCAAATTATTAATGTTCTGACTTGCTACTCAAATTAGACCTTAATATTAAGTACACTACTTATTAATCGATAGCAGCAACCAATTGCATTTGAAGATGAGTATTTTGCTTACTAACATAATACTTCCCAGGACCTCTCAACTTGCACATCCGCTCAAACTTGCCCCTGGCTTGCTTCCTGCTTCCTTTCAAACTTGACAGCTATCAGTGGGTTTGTAGAGGCTTTTCATATGAATGTGTGTTGTCAGGCTGCTGACATGGTTGCTCCTTTGAGCTAATACAACTGAGTGTTCCCAGAAGGTTTTACTGAGACCTGGCCTCACAGCTTACACCCTGTAGCTGTTGGGTGTTTCAGATATGCATTATCTATTGCCATACCTCTGGCCTGTTTATTTCTTATTCAGCTGACTGGTTTATGGTGAATCTTTTCTTTGTTCTCTTTACTTGTGGAATTCTCTCTGGGAGAGTGCAAGTGGAGAGCATATTCTGCACATCAGTGCCTTGATACATGGGCTTGAACAAGTCAGATCTATCCTGGCTGGGCTTGAAGCTGTGGCAACAAATACACTGCTGTGGCAACAAATTGAAAAGCACTAATTGAAAGCAGTGTAATTAGTAAAAACCATCCTGTGATGCTTTTCAGGATCTTTCCTATGTTTTAACAGCAATGCCAATGGGGTGTATGGTACCTTCTAGGAATAGCTGCAAAAAAATCCTAGGTTGAAAAGAAGAGGCATAACCTTTGTAATCTTACCAAAATAGCAGTAGGGAGCATTGAGAGTTGCCTGTGAAGGAGGATCCAACACGTCAGATCCTTGTTTCACGTTAACAGCTCAGCTCTAGCCCTGTCTGCCTTTCTGTGCTGCTTTCTTGAGTGTCCCACCTGGTGGTAATTCTGCTGAGGTTTCCTCCAGCGTGGAGAAGATGCCAAGTGGACAATTTTAGCTTAATTATTAATACACTAGGAAGAAGATTTTTAACTAATTACTTTCTTTTTAATTCAAGTTTCCCATCTCTACCAGTGATAGACCTTACGCAGTAGAAACTGTAATGCAAACTTGGAGTTTGAGGCAAGCTTTTGAAATGCTAAGGACATCTGTTGTTAGTGCCATGGGCAGGCTCTGGAACAGACAGCACTGCTGACAGCAGACAGGAGAAGATCCGTCCGGACAGCATTAATCACAGGCTTTGGCAGGCTGGGCATGTGAAACCAAGCACAGATGGCTGCCCATTCTGCAGTCGCTTCCTTCAAGTACAGAGTATTTGTAGCTTGGTGGTATTTTGTGAATCTGTCTCATTTTAGCACATTTTATATCCAGTGCTCTCACCACAGTTCTTTTTTATAGTGACATTGAGCTGTGTGGAGACCTCAGAGGAGCTTCCAGTATCTGAAGGGGGCTACAAGGATGCTGGAGAGGGACTCTTCATCAGGGACTGTAGTGATAGGACAAGGGGTGATGGGTTCAAACTGAAACAGGGGAAGTTCAGGTTAGGTATAAGGCAGAAGTTCTTCCCTGTGAGGGTGCAGAGGCGCTGGCACAGGGTGCCCAGAGAAGCTGTGGCTGCCCCATCCCTGGCAGTGTTCAAAGCCAGGTTGAACACAGGGACTTGGAGCAACCTGCTCTAGTGGAAGGTGTTCCTGCCCCCGTGGCAGGGCTTGAAACTGGATGAGCTTTAAGGTCCCTTTTAACCCAAACCATTCTGTGATTCTATGATTCTATGAACTGTCAGCTCAAATTTGGTTCCCCACTGCTTTTCTCTCCCATGTTGGGTGGGATGTGTGTCCTAGTGGCTTGCATCTCATGACATTTACATGTCTTTTATTTGAAGTGTTTCCACTTAATGAGAGAAATAGATCTCTTTCAGCTTGAGTAATACTCTATGTCTCCTTTCATCCCAATCAAAATATCATTGGGAACTTGATTAGGAAGAAATGTAATGCAGAGCATCGATGAAAATATTCTTTCACAGCTTTGCACCTGGAAATGATCCTAGAAATATCATTGTTCATTGACAACTGATTAACAGAAACTCTTTCATAGTCATTAGCATTCCTGTCTGAGGCCTCTCTAATAATCAGCTGTGTCAACGCTTTCATTAGGGTAACAAAGGAGGCAAGTTAAACCTCACTGTACATTTCCAGTGTCCCTGTCTAATAGAAATGTCACTGTGAAGGTCATCATCTCAGTAGCCTAATCTGAATCATGATGAATCTGAATCTGAAGTGGTGCCACCACATCAGCAAGACACTTAGAGCTTTCCTGCTGTTCTAAGGGGGTAATGAAGATCTCAGCCAGCTCATCCAAGACTCCTGACATCATTGTTACCCAGGTTAGATTTAATTCACTAACTCCAGTTGGGATAACACTGAATACCCTTTATTAGTTCTGAGATGGGAGGAATTTGTTTTAGCCCACCAGCTTCTCTTTGAATACAGATGAGTCACTTACTTATCCTTTTGTTATAAGTGATTTGTACTGGGTGCAGGTGTCCTGGTGCCCCGATGCTGGCACGAGGGGTGCCTCTGGGTAAATGGTGTTTAAAGCAAGGGCAAACACCCCAGAGAGCAATAGGGCGTGGAGGGAGAAGCTGCTAATTAGCAGCCTATGTGTAAGGCGTAATTTATTAGTGAAGCAACTTTGAACTGGATGGCAACTTGTTCAAATCAAATCACTCAAGGAGTTAGGGGTGTTTGCAAGTGCTGTACTTGTGCATTCCCAAAGCATCTAATGTAAAAATGCTGTTCTGTTGAGAGTGATCTTCATCACTACCAAAATGCTGAACTCCCTTTCTAAAGGTAGGTCTGTGTGTGCATGTGAAATTAAATTAATTAGTGAGAGTTTGCTTGCTGATTAAAATTAGTGTCTATAAATAACTTTAATGTTAAATGCTGCCTGTGTCCTGCAGAGTTGTCAGTTGTTGTTTTCTGTTAGTTCAGTGCTTAAACAGGAGCCTTAAGAGTGAGCGTAACATGATGTTTGAGTGGTGGGACTACATTACCATGCCAAGCAGCCTGCTGGGACCCTGGTGTGTGCTACATGCATGTAGCAGTTAAGGTACAATCAGGAAAGTTCATTCCAGTGCTCTGCATCCATGTTTTGCCAGATTATCATAGAATCACAGAACAGTCTGGGCTGGAAAAGACCGTAAAGCTCATTCCATTCCAACTCCCTGCCATGGGGAGAGACACCTTCCATGAGAGCAGGTTGCTCCAAGCCCTGTCCAACCTGGCGTTGAATTTATGCACTTCAGTATTTGTTGCTGTGGTTCCTCTGATAAGATTAAAGAACCTCAACGGTTTTCCCAACATTGTAATTGTTCTGGAACAGGTATGGGATAGCTATTGGAGAAGGAAGGATATGTGTTATTTTTGAGCATGGTATGTCTTCATGCAAAGCCATTGTTTTTGCAGGCAATTACACTGTGCTAGCAGAACAAATTTCAGTGAGCAGTTGATAAAATTCATAATTAATGAGCTTTGGCTACCACAATGCTGACTCTGTTCAAAATAAGCTCATGTTTCACACTTGCTTTTCTAAATACTAATGAGTCTGCCATTACTTGAATCAAATGTCACTTAGACATATATAGCCTAAGGGAAAGTACATTCTTCAGCTGTTAAGTACCTGTTCCAGTCTGTTTTCAGGGATATGTTGATTTTGGCCTTCTGGGCACAAAGTAGTAAGAAGTGGAACTTTCTCGTCTATTCTATTCAAAATGCTTTTCTCTAGGGCAAGACAAATCCATACCAGGTGAAAGCATGAAATGCGTGAAGATGCCGATGTGAGTTGGCTGCCTTCTTTGACATCAGTGTCTCCTTCCCATTGCTATCCTTTGTCCTTAAGGTCAGATCTATAGGCCTTTGCTGTGGTTTGTTGACAGACATCGCTTTCCCAGCTGGATAGCCATGCAGGTTGTGGGCTAGGAGAATTAGAAAGGCTTTGAGCTCCCTATGGAAAGGGTGAGAGTAGTGTTGAAGAATCTTCTCCATAAGAACCTCGAGGGAGATACCCACATAAATACCAGGCTATTGGCTGAAAGAGAAAGCCAAGCAGCGCAGGAGACAGCACAGAGAAAGAAATGCAACTTTCCATGCTGGTTTAGCAGTAGAGAATATCACCTTTCCTCTTTCTGCTGTGTTTTGCCAATGAGTGCCTTGGTACTGAAGCTGAGCAAAAGTTTTCCCTGAGCTTATGGGCTTTCTTTGGCATGTCTTGCTCAGGATCTTCTCCTGTTTGTGGTTGGCCAAATAATCAGGCTATAGTGCAGAAAAGCTGATGAGCTTCAGACTATGGTAGCAATGAGTCCCATCTTGTTTTGTTGGTGGAAACAGGTGAGGAAGGGGCCAAATGGGGTGGTTGTCCTGCTTTTAAACAGTGCTACCTGGTCCTGCAAAGCATGTGGGAGATATAGATACCTGTATAGGTATTCATGTACCTTGCCTGTTGCTGTGATATTGCCTCCTTCTCTCCAAAACAGCCTTGTTCTGTGCCCACAAATGGCATCTTGCAAAAGGCAACCTCAGAGTGGTGCAAAGCTCATGAGCTCACGAAGAGTTCCGTGTTACTGCTTCACATGGAAATCTGTGGATTTCCCTTGTTTGGGTCTCTTCATAGGGCAAATCAAATGATATCTGAGCTTTGAAATTACACCAAGGGAGACTTGGGCTGCATGTTGGCAAAGCAGAGAGACCATTGGGAGGTTTCATCTTCCTGAGATCAGGCAAATATGTGCAAAGTTGGAAGGTGAGACTAATGGTAACTGAACCTTAGCCATGAAGGTGATTAACATAAAGTAAATTTTCATAGCACTTTTTCCCTCCTGTCTTCCACTCCGAGCTTAGGGATGAGCCCTGTCTACAGCTGCTTACTCCTCACCAGGCAAGAGGTATCTGCCAGTGAAGTTGCCTGCCCTGTTTCTCACTGTGCACAAACAGTGTCATTGTGGCCAGTGGGAGAAAAGGAGGCTGTGTTCACAAGGAGGGTGTTGAGGCACTGGGGGAGGAAGAAAGAGATGCTTGTGATGCTAGCACCTGGTTTATTTGGCCAGGCTTTGGGTGTCCTGATTGTTCAGGCTGGCATCAAGAGACTAATTGCTTGCAGAAACCTGTGGAACATGACCTGAGTATCCAGGGCTGACTTAGAACCAGGAGAATAGTCCTGGAATGATCATAGGTGAGCCGGGAAAGCTTAGTTGGTGCAAATGAAGGAAACCTCAGCAGTCAGCTCAAGAAGGGTTAAGAATCATGGTCTGATGAGATGCGTGCATCTGTCAAGCCAAAGCAGGGGTTTTAATCTTCAAACCAGCCTTAGATTACCTCTGCCCTGGCAGAGATGCTCTCATTTGTTATTTTTCATCTAAATTAATGATGTGGTTGCCTAAAGCATGGTGAGAATGTATCACCAGGGACCTATCAGGGAGGGCAAAGTATTTTCCCTGCTTTCAGATCTTGGAGAGCGTGTCTCATAGGAAATTAATAGATATCTAAGGAGGCTCAATTCTTCTAATAAAAACTACTTCACTCCTTCCCTACTGTATCTACTGCAAATGTCTGTCTTTGGCCTGCTGCTGGTCCTGGTGATAAGAGAAGCCAGCTATGCAATCTTATATAGCTGCATTGGGAGCCAAATAAGTTCAGGTGCTGTTGGAGCAAGTCCAGAGGAGGTCACAAGGATGATCAGGGGCTGGAGCACCTCCTGTATGGAGAAAGGCTGAGAACATTGGGACTGTTCAGCCTGGAGAAGAGAAGCTACATGGAGACCTCAGAGCAGCTTCCAGTGTCTGAAGCGGGCTAAAGGAATGCTGTAACTTCCACTTACCAGTGAGGTGAGGTGATGCCAGGCCAGAGACCCACAAAAGCTGCCTTCCCATGGGTGGGAATGGGCTCTTCTAAGGTGGCATAAGGAAGTGACAGACTAGAAGCAGCCTCTTGAAAAGCAGAAACCCAGTTGTGGGTGGGAGCAGAAGTGGGGAAGTATTGTGTGTTTGGGTCTCAGTGAGCTCTGGGACTAGTGAAAACACCTGCGGGTGAAACTCAAGAAGCAATAGCGCTATTCAGTTGGACTTGATGATCTTAAAGGTCTTTTCCAACCTAGCTGATTCTATGGTTCTATTCACTTGCTCTCTTTTCTCTTTTTAAACCCTTTTCACCTGCTTTTTTGGTTTGAAGAGCTTTACACAATCTTTGAGGTGGAGTGGAATGTTCAGTGTGGGTATAAGCACCTGGTGCCTCCCACAGCCTTTTCACATGTTGGCAAAGGGTTTCATATTCCTTTAGTATCCCAGTCCCTTTGTAGTCAAATGCAATTTGCAGGGCATGAAAGAAAACCATCTTCATACAGGATTCAAAGGGAAAAGACTGAATTTTGATCTGTTCAATATATGCAGATATTGAGTGGTCTATCAAGGGGTGTGAGAGAGAAATCGGACGCTCTGTCCCATTTGTTTTAGAGGCAGAGTTCGAGCACTCTGCTATAACATTCTAACCTACAAATGAATCCCAAGCAAGTGACTGTATGTAGGTCAAATCCACATGTGAACCTCCACCAAACTTGTGCTTCATTCAGCTTTTTCATTATTATCTTTATTTTCTGGGGCCTCAAGGGAGGAAAAAACCCTTTGATTAAGGGGAAGGGCATTTTTTTCCAGTTTCTCTTTAACTTCTCACTGCATCATCTGTAAAGCAGAAAGCTTTGTTCTTTAAAAAGGTTTGGTTTATGTATGTTTTTCACTGAAGGTTGCTGAAATCCAGCCAATCCTATTGTGGCTGTAAAGGAGACATAAAACTTCATTACAGCTATTCCACAGAAAGCAGTTCAAGTGTCCAAGGCTTAGTGCTGTGGTTCTCTCTAGAAGTGCTGTGTGCTTCTTTGCTATCCCTGTGTGGCTGCCAGGTTCAGTTCACTGTTCCTGACGCATTTCTTGTGGGATTGAAACCAATTTAAAGAGTGATGAATTAGAGGCTCTGCTTTTGAGTTAGTTCCTAAATCTTGATTTCGTGTTCATGAGCATCCCACTCTGTGGGTTACCATGAGGTTGGGTGTACTCTTTCTCATTTTGATTTATGCAGACTGCAGAAGAATTTCCATCTAATATGCTGTTTGTAGCTGAAGATCTGAAGGGTGGTTGTTTTGGGGTGTTTTGTTTATTCCTGAGATAGGCACTGGTAAAGTGTCATCTTTAGTTGATGCTTCTCTGGTGAGGTCCAACCTCAGGGCACTGTTTGAGACCCTGAAATACTGGGCTGCAATTAGTGTTATGTTATCTCCAGGGAGGTTCCTTTCAACTGGGTTACTGTGCCAGCAAATGGAGCTGTTGTGTGAAATAACGTAGTTTGGTTTAAGTATTTGCATCTGTTTCCCTGCTGAACTTCTTTCCTCTTTCTCTGTCACATGCAGTTGGTTTCTAGTCAGCCCTTGATGATGCTGGGCATGCTGAGAAAATAAGAGTTCCACCTGTATGTCTTGCTGCAACACACATTTTTCTGCATGGCCTTGGATGTGCTGCTTGTGCAACTGCAGGGCTTTGCGAGAGATGCGGTTGTGTAAACCTATGTGTGGCTATAGAAGTCTCCAGCCTGTCCCTGCTACCATAGGAGAGATTTGGGAAGGTGCATTGTCTTTGGTGTACCCTGTCCTGGCTGTAGAAACAAAGAGGCTTTAACACATGTCTGAAACACCTTTTCTCACCTATGGAGCCAGGCTGAGAGAGCTGGACTGGTTCAGCCTGGAGAAGAGAAGGCTCCTTAAGGGGAGACCTTAGAGCAGCTCCAGTGCCTAAAGGGGCTGCAGGAAACCTGGAGAGGGGCTTTGGACAAGGGCCTGGAGAGACAGGACAAAGGGAATGGCTTTAACCTGCCAGAACAGGGGAGATTGAGATGAACTCTTAGGCAGAAGCTCTTCCCTGTGAGGGTGCTGAGGCACTGGCACAGGGTGCCCAGAGAAGCTGTGGCTGCCCCATCCCTGGCAGTGTTCAAGGTCAGGTTGGACACAGGGGCTTGGAGCAACCTGCTCCAGTGGAAGGTATCCCTGCCCGTGGCAGGGGTTTGGAACTGGATGACCTTTAAGGTCCCTCCCGACACAAACCATACTGTGATTCTGTGAAAGTCAGGGAGCTTGGAGATGTTATGTGCAGGTCCCAGGAGGATGGTGCCAAACTCTTCTCAGTGGTGCCCAATGACATATGGAAAAGAATCCTTTCAACATGCAGCTCCCTTTGCAGAGGGGCAGGCATGTGCAGAAGGCTGTATTTTGACTGTATTCATAGAACATGTGTGCATGTCACTTGCAGGGTGTTACTCTAAGCATTATGTTAAAAATAGCTACTGTGTTAAACTTCTAATTCTTACTTTTTTGCTTGTGCTTCTGAATTCAGAGTCGTTTGTGACTTACAGTGTGAAACTTCCCTGCAGTTGAGAGCTAGTCTAGCTTTCTATGACATTCTGCATCTTCCTTCTACAACCAGGTTCTGTGCTTCCAGGAGCTGCCTGTTAAGAGCATGACAAGACTTGCTTTATTAAAAACCTGCCAGAGTAGGCACTGAACAGCCATGTCCTGGGTGGGATGCTGGGCCTAAAAGCAGAATTAGTCTGGAGTGAATGGCAGTGCTTTTGCCTATCTGTTCCTTTGGGTCAGGAGTGGCAGAAGTGACAAAATCCCCCAGGAGACATGGAAATAGCTGGAAATTTGTATTAGAAAAAAGGGTTTGCTGCAGCATTTGGATGTTTATGGCTGCTACTCTGTAAGGAAAAGAGATGAAGTGGAAGGAAGTACAGAAAGTAAAATGAAGGTGTTTGCTTGTTTTTGAAGCAATATAACTCCCTCCTTTCTCCTGCATTTTGTCCCACTACATCTCCTGGTCATTAGGAGCTTCCTGCCCCTGCTTTCCTTGCAGCAGAAACTTATTCCCATGGAAAAAATTGAACCCCAAAAAGCAAATGCCTTGGAGCAACTTCATCACATGCTTCTACACTGGACTAGCAGCAAGGTACTAATCCCTTTACCCTGGCAAGACTACACACCAGGCTGCACATCCTTGGAATTAAGTGTGAGTAGCAACCGCATGGGCAACAAGCAAGCTGCCAGCACTTGGTCCATGGTTGTCCTCTGCAAGTAGCTTGGCATCTGCAGCAAGACCCCATGGTAGCAGTGTCTTTTGTGTCCCATTTCACCACTTAGCTGGGGTGAAGACTTCTGGATACAAGAGCTAAGCAGACGCTCTGGAGCTGTCACTGTGGCTATCATATCAATGTATGTGGAAGTTCTAGCATCATCTCTACCATGAAGTTATTAATGGAAATCATCATCCTCATTTAGTAGCTGCCATCACTTAGTAGATTAACCTTTATCAAGCAACTTTGCTATGTCAGCTGCACAGCAAAGTAATTACTTTTAATAGAATCTGCCCTTGATTTAAAGCCACTGGGGAAGCAATTAAATTTAACAAAGGCACAAGCCATGACTTAGAAATGAAGATGGATGGGTTTTGTTATCTGTTTCATAAATTGTATTGTGTACAAGTATTAGAAAATATTCAGTCATCTCATTTTGTGGGGTTTAAAATGTGATATTAGACTCTTACTCTAAGGATTAATTGAATGTCATCAGTGCCAGCTCTGGGACTTGGCTCAGAAATAGAGCTTAGTATCATTTATACTCAAATGACAAATGATTTGCAGAGGGCTTTGAACTTGAGCTGCCACTGGCTTCTCAGATGTGTGACATTTGCATTTAGCATGAAGAGAATACTTAAGGATTTCTTGGATCACTTGATCTCTTCCCTAGGTCTATTTTATTTGGTAGCATCTTGTTTTAAAGTGAGCTGCACCACTGTACATCTGTAGACTTTTTCAATTGACATTGTACTGCGTATATCACATGTACCTGTATGTCCTGTGTACCTCTATGTATGCCAGCTTGCAAACAGTTCCTGAGCAACAGCTTCTGTATGCATTTCTGAGCAATGCTCCACATTCTGCTGTGGAGTCCCCAGCCCCTGGTGCTGTCCCTTTGCTTGCTGCCTCTACGATGGCTGTCAGGAATGCTGACTCTGCACATGGTTACTGGAAATGCTTTGGCCAGATGAGTGGTGGGATGTGCTTAGGGAATGGGGACAAACAGTGGAGTGCAGCCCAGGCTTTCTCATAGCTGTCATCTGTGAAGAGAAATCCTCTTTGTTCTGCTTTGTGTGTCAGAGCAGCTACTCTTCACTTTGCAATACATCATATGACTCTGTAACACCAAGCTTTGGCCTTTCCCTTCAGTACTGGGCACAAGGGAAGAGCTCTTGCACTTGGATGCAAGAGCTGGAACATCCTCAGGGGTGGCTTCTGCTTTGGGAAGCAAACCAGACATCTCTAGAGAAAACTTGGGAGCCCAAGTCCTCCCTGTGAGACTGCTGAGGTCCTGAGCAGCCGGTCCTACAGCTCTGCAGCCATGCTGAAGGAAGCATGGGCACCCTTGCATGAACTGCAGAGCCTTTGGCAAGTGGTCATTGTAACTGCTGCTGAGGTACCAGTAGCCGTAGTTGTCCTAGGAAAACAGGAGTGTGAAGGCTGAGCTCACACAGGGCAGGGGATGCAGGCAAGGTGATCCCTGCAGGGTGTGATGCAGGTGTGGTGGCCTCTCCAAGCTCCTCTGCCATGCCTGTACTCTGGAAAGACCTTGGTTTCATCTGGCAGCTGATTTTTAGTTACTGCAGCTAATGCAGCAAAGAAACATCCCTTGGGAATGGGGCAGCTCATTAAAGAAGAAATAGACTACATCCTGTGCTAGGCAGCTTTGATTACTCTTCCGGGAGCTCTGCATCACCTCTCCTCTGCTCCTGCTGGCAGACCTAAACCAGGAGTTTCATTAACTGCATTTTCCTCACTTCACACTGTGCCTCATCTGTGACATGAATTGTAGAATTATAGAATAGTTTGGGTTGGAAGGGACCTTCGTGCTGTTCCTTGCATTGGGTACAGGATAAGGCTATATAATTTCTCCTAAGACTGGTAAGGGTATCCAGCTAGTTATGACTCTCCTGGAGTGAGAGAACAGTACTGACCTTTCTATTGCTTTGTTTTCCTCTGCCACAAAGCTGCTTGGATTTCCTGTGATTTAATGCCTGTCTTCAGTTTTGATCCAGTGGTTTTATTCTCCTTTAGAGAGATAGATTGCAGTGGGGTGGATGGTCTTGGACTGGCAGAGTCAGTTGTTCCGTGTGCAATAAAGAAAGGCATTTAAGGCTGCTTTTAACTGTCTTTTGAAGGAAAAGGTATATACATGTTTCTTAGCAGCTCTAGTGTGGCAGGGAGCAGCTGCCTCTGCACGTGCAAGGCCAATTAAGATTCAGTGCTGCTTCAAAGCCTTCCTTTAGTCTCAAACCAGACTTCTAAAAAGCAGGAGGAAAAAAAGGCCCCACAACTGTATTACGAAGCATCTTCCAAATTAGAATTGCTTGTCCCTCTTGGAAGAATCTGAAGCTGTTTGCCTGCAGCCCTATAGAGAGCATCACTAACCCTGCTGCAAGTCTCTTCTCACTGAAACCACCTTAGAGATGGCTGCTGAGTGACTTGGTTTGCTGCTGAACTTCAGTTCTGTGTTGGGTGAAATGGATTTTCTTCTTACTACACTTTTACCTGGGGTACAGCTCAGGGTGAGCTTTACACCATAAGCTCTCCTAGGCTGAAGGCAAGCAAGCCAGCTCACTTTGTAGTGCAAAGCCAAAGTGCCCTCTGCAAGAAATAGGTAGGCAAGAGAGAAGTGGCTGCTGGAACACCAGGTGATTTTATATGACTTGATACTAAACATCATGTAGTTACACAGAGGAATGACCCAGCTGGGTGGATGTTTAGTATAGAAGGGGTTCGATTCCAGTTACAGCCTATCTGCAAGTTCCTGACACCCAGGAAGGGCTTAAACTCTTATGCTGGATATGGGGAAAAAAATGAGCTTTACCATGGACATGTTAATATCTTTTGACTAGTGAGGGTAATACACTGACATAAGGATACTGTATCTTATGTATGCAGTAGAAATGAATCTTTTTTAATTAGAGAAACCCAACATGATTAAACTCACTGTTTTGGAATCAGAGTAGCTTTTTATTTGATTTAGTTTAATTGGCTTCCAAAGTGGCTATTCTCAAAAGGATCTTCATACCCATGGTGTCTATGGAAGCGTATACTCTGAACAAACCCTTCTCTGGATGTCCTTTGGACTTGCATGTGAACAGAGGAGTTATATTTACAGCAGCGTACATGTAAGTAAAGAGAGCTGCCCTTCAGGCTTCCTCTCACCTGAGGTGATGTTAGAGGTAAACGCTGCAGTCCACAAAATCTAGCTCTTGCTGACTTCAATTGTAAAAGATAGGCACCCAGCTCTTGGGAACTGTTATAGTGCAGAGACCTTGGTAGGGGTGCATAAGGCCAGGAAACTGGTTTTGGTCAAGGGCTAAGTGATGAGCTATTATGTGCTAGTTATCAGTAGAGCACCTAAGCAAGGCAGTTTCCATCCTGAGGAGTAATTTGCCTTGTCTGTGCTGCTGTGGCTCTGTCTTCATGCCGCTTCTCATCCCAAGTTAACTTTGGTTTCCTCCCCCTCCTCTTCTTGTACCCTCAAAGCTTTAAATGGATCTATATTTAGAAGAGGCTGCACGCTGCCTGAAGAGTTTCTGATAGTAAATAATTCTCTTGATAGGGATCCCTGATACATATCAGGATTCTTCTGCTTCTAATGCTCTACAGTTTGAAACCTGAACAAGGTTTGTGGATGGCAGACTGGTTTGGGTTGGAAGGGACCTTAAAGCTCATCGTGGGCAGGGACACCTCCCAACGTCCTGTCTTACGTGGTCAGATGGCTGCCAGAGCAACCCTGAGAACAGCTGCTTTGACTTATACCAGCTCCTTGTTTCTGGGAGTTACGCAGCTTCAGTCCAGGTTGAACAGAGCCTTGGGCGACATGGTTTAGTGTGAGCTGTTCCTGCCCATGGCAGGGGGTTAGAACGGGATGATCTTAAGGTCCCTTCCAGCCCAATCCATTCTATGATTCTGTGGAGCATTGCAAGCTGAATCTTTGAAGAGCTCTTCAGTGGCCTCTTAGCTGTTTGCTTTGCAAAGCACTACTGAAATGCTGTTAGGCTGACAGCAGGCACTTCTTGCAAATGAAGGGAAGACAAAGCTGATGCTTTAAAGATGTACATGGGAAGCTTTCCTGTGTTGTAATGTCTATCTGCTTTAGCATGCTATTACAGCTGGTGCTGCTTTTTCAGCACAGTGAGAGGCTGCAAAAACATAAATGTTCTCTGGTGTTTGCTTCAGTTTGCATCTGGAATAGGGAGACACCACGGTGGGTAAAATTAACAGCATCAGTTGTTGAATACTCTAGTGCTAACATTGCACAGATTATTGCATGTAAGTAGGTAGGATAAATATTAATTAAAATAGTAGTAGAAGAAGTGGAAAATGAATTGCCTGCCTCTGAGGAGCTTTCTTGTTGAGACTCTTTTAATTCTTTCTAAACCTTGGTGCCTTGCTGTGCTTGCTAAACTTCTGTTTGTGCTAGGCTGCTGTATATCAAAGCAATTGCCCCATAAACCACCACAGCAGTGGGGATGGAGAGTAGTGAATTTCGGTGGGCAACTTTAACATGCATAAATTACAAAATGAAATGGTGAGCTTTTAAGATGCCTTAATGGAGAAGTAAAGATACAGCCGAAAACCATCTTGGGAAGGAGGAAAGGCACAGGACTGTCAGGTGGTGATGTATAGATGAATTTGAATTACTCTATGCATAAAACTTTTACTCTATGAGTAAAACTAAAGAACTAAAAGAGAAGAAACTAGAACTCTCCTCATCCTTGTACCCTTCTTGCATTAGTGGCAAAAGGTGTTAGAGAATCTGTGTATTTACTTTGTCTGGATCTGAGATGCCGTGCTGCTGATGATGAACTGCAAGACTTAAGGATCTGTCTTCAGGGGTTGTAAAGTATTCCCAGGACAAGCA